TGGTTGAATGGCTCCCTCGACTATGTAACTAAAAAAGGCCAAACTCCAAAGGAAAACAAAAAGAAGAGAAAAAGAAGTAGAAAAGAAACTAAATCAAATAACAGAAATTGAGTAAAAGAAAAATAATTAACTAACTACAGCTTCTTTGGGTTTCTGGATGACTTTCGTCTGGTTTCTTGAGCCGACCCCACTTAACTAGGTAGGTACTCAAGTCCCGCGTTGATCGCGTTAATGGCGTGCCTTCCACCGCGTAAAGAGCTGCATTGTTTAACTAATTCCATGAATCGTTTAATCACTGTGTTCCTCATCCACTTCCCTCATCCACCTCCAGAACCCACCCCATTTTCGCTGTACTTTGACCTCGTCGAAACACCTACATTGACAGAGAGGGACCTCGCACGAGGACTTACAAACCCACGATTGGCATTTGTCGCCCGATTGTATAACACCCCATCACTCCCATGGCGGGCCGACCTCGTCGGGGCAGGGCCTCGTCGGCGTCGATGACCGCAGACCTGGACCGCGCCCGGATTCGCTGGGCCAAGGAATCGTCCGTCCTGAAACCGACACCGCAAAATGTGCCAGATAACGACTGGCCGTGTTATGTCCTGACCGACGCGACGATTTACCGGAAGGATGGCAGGACGGTGGCCAACCCACTCCTCGTCCATGTCCAAGGACCCCTAATCGTCCGCGGTCTCCTCGAGGTCGACGAAGACAAGCTCGTGCCTAACCGTAAGCCTAGTGGTTTATCTCCTATTGGTATCGCATACTAACTTGACCTAGTTGTACGCTCGAGCGTAAAGACCGCCTATATTGAAATACCCCATTCAGACCGATACTCGATAGGAGACGGCCCGCTCGTCCTTTGGGTTTCAGGCGCCGCCGGCTGGTTTGAGATCCGGCCGTCTCCCGAATACCAGCAGATGTACGACCAGGTTCGCGAGGCCATTACCCTGTACTATAGCGCCTTTGAGGTGTACGAAGCGTATGTTGGGGCGTGTGCGAACAAGAAGAAGGCACGAAGGCCGCGACCGCCGAGCTTGGACGATATCTTTCTCAGGTACGCCGTGAGGGCTGGCGACGGCATCCTGCGACATGAGGTCGAAGCCCTGTGCAGTAAATGGGCCGAGTTCTTGATTCCCCACTTCGACAAGGAGTTTGATCTGGACTGGAACACAACGCACTTTGCCAAGTGGCTGCGTAGCTCACACCCTGTACGTGCGAATTTTCCGCTCGCGCGATACCTTCCAGCTGACAATGTCTAGGAGGTGCAGAAGAAACTCGCTGATATTGCAAACGGCCTGATTCCCCCCTTACCTCTTCCGGAACCCCAAGAATCCCCGGACAACAAAGCAACTCAGAACCGGAGGAGCAGGTCAGCGAGGGCCAGTAGCCGGAACAGCGAGGTTCAAGACAACCCACCTAGTCTTCCAATGCCACAGGCAAAGCCCACCAGCAACCCTAGGGCTAAAATAAGCGAAACTCCCATACCGTTGCCAGGGAGATACCGGCAGCTTACCCAGCCAGCAAGTTCGGAGCCGTCTCCGGCGCCTACCAAGGCACCCAATGCTGATACGGCGAGAGGGACACCTAAAGTCGATACGCCGAGAGAGACACCCAAGATTGATACGCCGAGAGAGACGCCCCAGGCTGATACACCGAGAGAGACACCCATGCCCGATGCCGACTCCGAAACCCCTGTTGATAGGTTACTAGGAGCCCTCAGCGAAGTCGCAACAGAGGTGAATATCAGTAAGGCACCGCCTTCCAAGATCCACTCGGCCGTGTTCTTCAAGTGCAAAATAAGGCACTACAGCGGTGCCAAGGACATCCTCGCATACTACGCGAAGGAGCTTCTCCCACGCCTGGGCGCCGAGTGGAAGGGCGCCCCATGGTATCACTGGTTGGTGGACGCTGCCAAACGGCCGTGGGAGCCGACAGAGGTCACCGACCCGGATAAAATTCCTGCGCAGACGTTACGGCGGGTGAAGATGGGCCCTAAACCAGGCCTGTCGACTAAATCAGCGACCCAGCTACCCCCGGACATCAACCTCAAAATCAAGGCTATGAGCGCTGTGCAAGATGAGAGTGAGTCAGAGGAGGAAATCGCCGAGCTCTATACAGCGCCACAGCGCAACCGTAGATCCGGCAAAGGGGCAACACTGCGCTTAGTCACAAGCGCTAAGAAACGACCGCGTCCCGAGCTTGACGACCAAGCTAGCGGAAGCCGACGGGGCAGAAAGTCGGCCAAGACCAGTCACCATATCAGTGACGACGAGTCGGAGGATGGCGGTAATGCGACTGACGAAGACGTGACCTCTGGTGAGGAGTCGATCGTCGGATCGCGGTTGCCTCTACCGGAGGGCGCAGTCCGCGTCACCGTGCACGCCGAGCGGCTCCCCACAACGTCACCCAGCGGGCCCGACGGCACCTGGACGTGCGACGAGGAAGGCTGCACCTATGTTGTCAGGTCGGCCGACGAGCAGGACGCGCAGGAGCTGATTCAGGCACATTTCCGGGACCACGAGGCGCAGGCCGAAAAGATCAACCTAGCGGTCGCAGAGAGCCGCGGCCACATGCCCATCAAGTACGTCTACTTCCCCCCTGTCCTTCTCCTCGTCCACATGCACTCTAGACGTACATGACGCCGAGCAGGCAAATCTACCGGCTATAAGTTGGCGCGCAGTTCGACCTTCCTACGATCTGCGCTGGCCGGCCAAGTCCAGCTACAATGAACCCACAAAACCCTAGCACTAGCAGCCTTGGTAGCCTGGGTGCTAACTAGCAATAGCCATCTTCTCAGCAAGATCCAAGCGCTCGGCAAGGCCGCCCTCTTCGGAAAACGAGAGACCGTGGATGACCAACCTGTCCCGGCGCCTGTTAAGCGGCGGCTTCTCCTGTGAGGGCGAAAGGGGGAGGGCGCTGATTAAATCCGGCCCTTGTGTTGACGGAGTCTCCTTTGTGTTTTGGGTTGTGTAAACCCTCTATACCCTTGCATTTATTATACAGCTGATGAGGATACCGGTCTTGGTCAAGGCGGTTGGCTGGGTAGGGCGTTTGTGGTTTGGTATCCAGGGGGCTCTCCAGGGACATCCCGTGATGCGGGATGGATGGGTGGGCTACGGATTAGCGACAGCGTCTATTGTGGAAATCAAGAAACTAGATTTCTATCTAGCTGAACGCACTGCGACTACTCCCCCCAACATGATGCCCCTCGCATCTTGTCATTCATGATTGCTTCGAGAATGACATGACAGCATACCGGAAAGTCCCGTTTGCATAGCCCCTCCTCATGGCCCGGAAGGCTTGAAGGAAGGCAATGCCATCTCGGCCTTGGCTGAAGGCGAACGCCCACAGTGAGGGATTTTGCACGAGCGACCATGAGATGTCCCTGTACCTGTTAGCTCCCGGGCTTCTCGTACGTGAACTCTTGCGAGAGTACATACCAGGTCTTGCTGACATCCTTGCTGATGTCCTTGGGGCCGCCCAGTACCTCCAGCCCGGCACCCGTAGCTAGGTTCACATACTCTTGCTGCGTGCAGAGCGGCGGGGTGAGCATACCGTCTAGAATGCCATCAGCAACCACCAGACCACGAACGAGATAGATAGGGGGGCAGGGACAGACCTTCGATGGGTTTGATATCCGCGTCAAACACACTTTCACTAAGCCCCTCCGCCTTGAACCAGTCCGCCAGCACCAGCTTCCCGCCCGGCCGGAGCAGCTTGTGCGCATTGTGGAAGAAGAGCGCCTTGTTGGGGAAGTGCGAGAGCGCCTCGCTGATCCAGACCACATCAAACCCGCCCTCGCCACCATCCCCCCCGGGGCCGAAATACTCGCCCATCTTCTCGGCATCCAGCTCCACAAACCTCACCCGCCCGCCCTTCTCGCCGACGGCGATGAACCCCTCCTCACCACCGCCGCCATTCCCAGCCCCAGCCCCATCCCCACCACCACCATCGGCACCATCAGCCGCTCTGCTCAGCCTCGTCGCCATCTGCACCTGCTTGCCCGAGATGGTTAAGCCCGTCACCGCCGCGCCCAGCGCGCGCGCCAGATACCGCGCCGTGCCGCCAACACCACATCCAACATCCAGCACGCGCAGCGGCGGCGTCGTCGTCACGGTCGTCGCCCTCGCCGTAGCCGCAACCCCATCCCCATCCCCCCCCTCCAAACCCGGTCCCTCCCCCCCCCCCCGGCCCCGGGCAGGTCAGCGATACCCAACAACAGCCGAATCAAATTCAGCTGGGCCGTCTCCTTGGAGTCGGACGCCTTGGAGGCCGCCGTCGGCCAGTAGCCGTGGTGGATGTGCTCGCCCCACAGGTTGAGGTAGTAGTCGCTGGCCAGGTCGTAGTGCAGCTTGATGCGGTCCTTGAGCGCCTGCATCGTGGTGTGGGCGAGCCCGAGGGGCGTGTCGTATTGTGTGCTGAGGGCGGTGGGTTCGTCGCCCTGGCTCTGGCCCTGGCCCTGGGGGGTGGTGGTGGTGGTTGGGGCGGACATGCTTGGTGGTGTTGGGGGTGTGTTGTTGTTGTTTGGGGGAGTTATGGGTGGGTTTGTGGTGGTTGTGGTTGATATGGTGATTGTAGTTGATATACACGGTGAGGTTGTGGAACGAATTGAAGCTGCACGGAGAGGAGATTTACGGTAACTTGGGAAATTCGGTTTGAACACTGAGGAAGCCGCACCTTCCCGGCCAGATGACGCGCTGGTCGAGACTGCCAACTTGGAACCGAGCGTGCATGGCAGGCGCACTGCGTTCCTACATCACAACAGTGGATCTCTCAGGCCGCCATTGGTTACGATGCATGCGTGCCGCTCGCATTTGAGCACTATCGCACACTGTTAATATTAGGTTCCTTCCTCCGATAAATTTCTCGATTGATGGGGTTAAAATGATGTTTTGCTAAGTGTCTATCGCAGCCGGCTTGCTGGAGCGATTGGCCAAAAAGGGGTTGATTCAGGTCGCGGCCATGCGGCGGAGACAACCCGAAAAAGTAATTGACTGGAGCGCGATTCGAACGCGCGCCTCTTGCGAGAGTAGAATACGCCCCATTGAATGGGGAAGATAATTTCTTGAGTCTACCGCCTTAGACCACTCGGCCATCCAGCCATTGGATATTGGATATGTGAACGGCTTCAGGGGCGCCTACAGAAACCCACGAGCGCCACCGTTCGACACAACGGTGACGGAAGGGCTGAGTTCAACTCGATTGCAAATAAGCAACATTTAATCCGTTCATATTTGCATTTCAAAACCACCAGAGAGAACGATGTACCAGAAGAATCCCGAGTTGGGCAGTGTCTAGGCCGTGGGCAGCACTGCCTCGTTACTACTCATCAAGGTGTGCACTAAATGAAATGAAGCAGACCAGGTTTCGAATATATAAGAAGCAGAACTCCAACTCGGACGCAAACACCTGACTACAACCCCTGAATCCCGTACTATCCATTAATCCTCAACCCCACCAAACCGACACTCGAGTCCTTCCACCTACAACCCCCCATAACCGCCCAGACGATCTCCTCGTACCCAAACAAGAACCAACAACCCCCAAATCCCAGCAATATCTCAACCCCATAGTCCCATTAGGTAGTCTCCTAACAACCCACAGCCATCTCCAACCCCCCCCTCATCCTCCGACGATCAAACCCATTCAGAAACCCGAGCTCCCCAACCCCAGCCAACTCGAACCTGTACGCCATGGTCGCCCGGCACGCGAACGAGTTCACCACCACCACCCTGTTCCCCCCGGCACCCACATAGCCACCCGGCGCGGCCGCGAACCGCGACGTCCCCACCAGCGCCCCCGGTGCCGGCCCGCCCACGGCGTACACGTTCACGGCCAGCGGCTGGCCGCCCGCCTGCACGCTCGTGTCGAGGATGTTCCAGTTCGGGGGGAAGACGGCGCGGAGGGTGCAGGGGCCGGGGCCGGGGACCGTGTTGTTGTTGCTGAGGGTGAAGGTGAGGGTCTGCGTGCGCGTGAGGTTGAGGTTGGGGCGGTTGGCCAGGTACAGGTACGGGGGGGACGGTGGGTGCACGCTGGCGCAGCCGGTTTGGCGGGTTTCTTTGGTGGTTGGGAGGGCGGTTGAGAGGGTGGTGAGGAGGAGCGTGGTGAGCGTGGTGAGCGTGGTGGTGAGGAGCATTTTGGCGGTGGTTGGAGGGTGGTTGGTGGTCGGTTTGAGGAACGGAACGGGATGGTCAAGTGTTTGAGTTGAAGTTGGTGATCTTGATGAGACGGCTTTTTGGAGCTGCTTTGGAGATGTGATGATGAGATGATGAGAAGATGGGAGATAAAAGACCTTTAGAGAGGAAAGACAATCTCTTTTATAGAGGGAAGGAGCCTCTCTTGCACCTGCCATGCATCCCAAGGTTCTCAATTTCTCCATGATAGGATCCCATCCTTCGTCCTCGCTATGGTCAACACCGTTAGCTAGCATGACTCGCTCGGTGAAAATGGCCACAATCGTGGCTTCGGTCATCCTCTGAGGGAATATTGATTGCTGAAAATAGCAATGTCGACCTCGCGACCGTCTACCAACGCGACAGAGCGGCCGATGGCGATTGACTGGATTCAACTCCGCCCATGTTGGAGTGTGGTGGTGATGGGGTGACCCTTGATGGAGAGTTGCCAATACCTATGTCATCCCCGTCTGCTCCTTCTGCAGTGCAGTATGTAATAACCAACCTATTTTTGTACCGGGCAATACTCGGCCGGCTGCCAGGCGATGAACTGGTGTTGACTCAAGCAGGAATTAGCTAGGACTGCCAAAGCTCTGTACCTTGCAACTTACTATTTACTAGCTACTCTTTTTTTAGTAACTTGAAATCTCCTAAGCATCTAGGTATGCTTAGGTTGCTTCTGGCCATTCCACCGCCATTAAAGCAACGGCCACCGAAAGGCGCCTCAACTCTCTTGCATCTACAATAGCTAGGATGCAACCCAACCGTCACATGGATTGAATATAACTACCATAGTGACACGAGAGCCCTCGTGTCAGTAAATACTGTCGTACGGTACAAACACGGAGTGTGATGCCCTTAAAGCGCCCGAAGCGCCCGAAGCGCCGGCTGTGGCAAACAGTCGAACATTAGCCACTACAGGCGACGAACAGGTTAAGACTCGGCATTCTGATTTTCGGTAAATATCTCGATGTTTTGCAGGTAGTACGGAGTAAAGTCTTGCGGTCTTATTGCGTACACGAAACAACAAAACCTTGCTGTTTTAGTTGTCGACGTTGAACAACTCTCATCCCTAGCTTTATGAAAGGGACAGCGGATTATTAACATACCATGAACCCACCGTAACACTGCTCAGACCTCTGCAGGATGGTACTTACCTCTCGTTTTGTAACCATATGTCTTCTATGCCATTTATGCGGGACACCCAACTAAGAGGTACAGAAGAAAATAAATCTATTACGCCCCAAACCCACACAGCCAAAAATATACACCAGAAACTCTATCATCCCAGCTTCATATCGGCGTGGTGGAATCTCCGCCAGCCCTCATCAAGTTCCATCTATCATGACACATAACATAGGAGAAACGACCCCCGAAAAAACGGTGCTTGAAAAGCGTCCCTAACCTCGTGCAGTCATATATATCCTCCCTCGATTCTGCCCGGAGAGGAAAATAAACCCAGCCCCCGCATCCCCATCCCCATCCGGAGATGGCAGGAAATCCGGGCCAAGAAAAGAGCAGGGGAAGAAGATTCCCCGGGTATCCCTAGTAATAAATAAGCAGCAGCTGTATCATCCCGCTTCGACCGCTTCTCCAGTCTATCCATCCCCCCAACCACACCTATCTGCCACCCCCTATCCTCGCCACCCTTAGCAACCTCTCACTAGACCGAGGCAATCACCACCCCTAGCAACCTCTCACTAGGCCTCGTCACTCACCACCCCCCAAACCGGGGACTCCCCGCGCCACTAGCATTCACACTCGCCGCGGCACTCCCCATGGCAAAGCTCTGGTCGATCTTGACGATCCAATCCATCTTGTCGCGCTCGCTGCGCGCCGCAAACAGCCAGGTGTTGTCGGTCCCGTAGACGGCAAACACGCCGGCCTGCAGCCGCTCGCTGAGCCTGCTGATGCCTCCACCGCCACCACCACCGCCCGACGCGGCCGCGCCATTGGGAGAGGCACCGTTGCTGCTGTTGCTGTTGCCGCCGCCAGGCCAGAGCGAGGCAATCAGCCTGCCCGTCCCGCCCTGCGGCAGCGGGTTCGGCGACCTAGACGGCGACGGCGACAGCTCCCTGCGCGGCGTCCCAAACCCACTACTACTAGCCCCATCCCCATCCCCACCACCACCCCCCCCATTCTGACTTCCACTCCCATACCCACTCCCATACCCACTCCCACCACCCCCATTCACCCCCGGACCCGGACTGCTGCCCCCCACATTCAAATTCAACAGCCCCAAAATCCCCGGCTGGCTATCCACCCTCGCATTCCGCAGGCTCACCACGCCCACCTCCTCCCCCGCCGAGACGGAGTGCACGTGCAGGTAGGGGCGGCGCAGCTCGACGAAGCGCTTGACCCAGCGGGTGGCGTCGGCGTTGGGGACGAGCAGGTAGCCGCCGCGGAGCACGGTCGGGTTCTTGGGCACGCGCACCACCGTCGCGATCGACGTCGGCTGCGGCGGCGGCGCGGCGTCGAGCGTTGACGGGGCAGAAGAGGTCGGGGCGTCGCCTGACGGCGGCGCGACGCCGTCTTCGGGCGGGTCCGTGTTGCGCGGGGAGAGGATCTGGAGGGTGGGGTCCGGGTACCGCTGCCAGAGTTGTAGGCAGCGGGTGAGGAGGTGGGTTTGGTGGTCTGCGTGGTCCAGTTGTGGTTGGTTGGGTTGTGGTTCTTCGGGAGGGGAAGAGGGGGGTTGGTTTTGTTCGCCGTTTTCGTTGTCGGAAGGTTGGGGGATGTTGCCCTCGGCCTGTCCGTTCCCTTCCGTAGGCTCGGGGGACGCGGGTTGGGAGGGTCCAGGCGTGTCATCCTTGAGAAGTTCCGCGATGGAGTCGGCATCGGAGTTTATGGGCGGGGGTAGCAGGTCTGCGCCTTCGGGCTCTTCGAGGCCGCTGGGTTCATCTTGGAAGCCGATTTTCTTGAGGAACGACTGGACCGCCGCAATCTCGGCCGTCATCTGCCTCTTCTTCCGCGAGCTGATGTAGTCGGCCACGAGCGATACGCCGCGCGGTGTCCAGGCTGTCAGGTTCTCCTCGCCCTTGACGTAGTCGTGCTGGCTGTTCATCCGCCACAGATCGCCCACCCGCTTGATCGGCGCCGGTCGCATCTGCAGCGTGAAAATGCCGGTTGTCGAGTGGACGATGCGGACGTGCTGAAACAACGATGAGAACATGGATGTTTGCCGAATGAAAGACCGCGACAGGATCTGGCAGCAGACATTCATCGAGAACTTCATCGGTTCGGCCAACTTCTCGGAGCTGATCTCCCACGATACCGTCATTTGCACGCGGTACTTATCCGCCGTGACCCGGTCGAGGAGCAGCGACTTGTGTAGGCTGGAATCCCACTGCCCAGCCACGGAGACGCTCCGGGTGCCGTTGGCGTTGATTTGGAATGAGGGCTCGGACGCGAGCTTCAGCGGGATGTCCGGAGTGACCGAGCCCATGTCGGGCGTCTTGCCCGCGCTGTCTAGCAACTGGACCTTGCCGACGCGCATCTCTGCGACATCGTCCCACGGCAGCGCATCGCCCGAGCTGTGAGTGAGGTTGATGGCAATGCGCCTCTGCAACCCCTGATGTAGTTGGAACGTCCCGCCGTCCAGCTCGCTGGTCTGGTTGACTTCCACAGGCACGTACTCGCCCTCCTCGTTCATCTCGAGAATCTGCACCCGCGCCAGCAAGTCATGCTTCTCCTCCGTGAAGAAGTGCGCCTCGCTTATCCTGGCGCGCTTTTTTCCCCGCGAGTGAGGCACGCCGTCCCGCATATCGTCCCAGCTGAGGAGCTTATCCAGGTGCATGGCCGACGCCTTGGCAAATATGGCCACGCGCAGCGTCGTCTGCGGGGGGGCGAACAGCGGCACGCTCATGCTATGAACGCTTTCGAAGCGGATCGGGCCCTCGTCAAAGTCCTTGATCATCTGCGTCGTGGTGACG